ACCAACCTTGGCAGCTCTGCCCGGGGAGGAGGGACAACCTCTGTAACCCCCCCAAAATATGTCCTGCGATGGCTCTGGCACTTGGGCACAAGTGACTCAGCGGCTCTGCAGAGGCACGCCACTAGATGTCAGGAGGAATTAAAATGTAATTTTTATTTTTTTTTTTAAAAAAGAGGAAATTTAATCGCGGGAGCCTGGACGCAGGCCAGGAGCAGGGAGCTGGGGGCACGGCTGTGCTGCCAGGATGCATCTCACGAGGACGGGGTGATGCTGACCCTGCCGGCGACCTCCCGGGTCTTGGAAAGCGGGATGGATTTCTGGGATGCAGCCCTGGCTGTGCCACGGTGCCCTTGTGACTCACAGCGCTGCCGGGCATTGGCAAAACATCCCTTATGACAGCAGGTTTTGCTTTCGAGCGCTCCTGAAGTGCAGACAGGAGTCTGGGAAAAGGGTTTTCCCCCTTCCCAGCAGTGTGCACAGCTGGTTGTGGGACCCCTCTCCCAGCAGCTGGGCACCAGGAGCCCGAGCCTCTGGCAGCTCCCCCCAGCCCCCCCAAGCACGACAACTTCCGCCTGGGCTCGAGCTGAGTCAGGTCCAAGCCACCAACTCATTAAATCCAGCTTTGCATTAAATCTGGTTTTGCTTTAAACCCAGCCTTGCATTAAATCCAGCTCTGCATTAAATTTAGCTTTGTATTAAACCCAGCTTTGCTTTAAAGCTCGCTGTGCTGCCCCGGCAGCGACGTCCTGGCATGGGGGAGCTACACACGCTTTCCAGGGCCAACCACAACCTTCCCAAGGAGCAGCAGCTTCTCTTTGGGTGGCTTCAGAGAAAAGAAAAGGGTAAAATTTCCCCATAATCTGGGGATTTAAGGAAAAAGGGAGACCCTGCTTGATGGACTGGGGGTGGGTGCAAGCGGGGTGCCTCAGGGAGAAGGATTGGGAAGCATTTAGTATTGCCAGGAGGAAACAGAAACCAGTTTTGTGCTCACAGCACCTCCAAAAGAGGGTCCTGTGACCCACCAAAGGTTTAAATGAAATTCTAGCAGGGGAAAGACCTGGTTCAGCATCAAAGTGGTCAAAAGTGAAGCTCCCCGTGTTGAATCCCCAGGGAAGGAGTGTTCCACCCAGACACCCCCTCACTCCTGCTGTGGGATCGCGGGAAGGAGCTCGCCAAAACCAACCAGGAAGGAGTCCCGAGCGCGGCGCAGAAAACCACGGGGTGTTTTGCAGCACCAGGGTTACCTTGCCAGGGCAGGATCCAGCTGTGGTGTGGTGGGAGCTTCTGGGCGTCCACAGCGGCTGTGCTGGGGGCTGGCGGCGGGGGGTGACTCACTTCCCCAGCACGCTGGATCCTTACGGATCTCCACGTGGTATTAAAGCAAGGCAGGGGTTGTAAAAAAACCCGTAATCTTCCTCATTCTTGCTCTGGGGCCAAGTTGCTCAAGAGCCGTTCCCACAGCGAAGCCCTCCCCGCCCCGCAGCTTTGCTCCCGAAAGCCCCACCGAGGGCAGCCTGCTGTCAGGGATGCTCAGTGGCACCTTTGCAGCCCCTCATCCCTAACCCCATC